CTTGTATTTGAATAAAAACAACTCATAAGGTATGGATGCAAAAAAGGGTTCAATGTCTCATTACATAAAATTAAACCTCTCTCCTCATGAACTGTTTGTATGTGTGAATGTTTCAGGATCTTAAAAAAAACGGCAATGCCGAAATAAAAACACATGCGTAGGAGTTTACAGGTCAAGGCAAGAAGAGCCATCTGAATTGTGGAGGGGGATTTTGTCCTTGTGGCGGATGGTGTCAGGAAACGTAGTCACCATTGGGGGGAGTGCGTGGTCTGCCTCAGTGTTTAGGTGGGCGGCATGTGTCACAGTGTTCTCCACATGGAGGCCAGGACACTGTGTTTTTCTAGCAGAACGTCACAGTTTGATTAGAATATGTAATGAAATTCACCTGTCAGGAGTTTTACTGTTGCTGCTGATCAGACTAGGAACATATATGTATAATTACATACAACAATGAGAGCTTCCCGCCGGGAAATTTACATAGCAGTGTAACATCTCAATAGAGTTGTTACAACTACAGCTTCACATCAGGTTGTTATGCTGCTCCTCTGTTATTAAATGGCCAAAAGATCTTTGTCAAAGATCATTGAGAAGAAAAAAAATGTTGCACCCTAAATACATAATTGATAGAGCTGTCAAAAGGTATTAAAGCCTTGTGGGGGTTATTAAATGTTATATGATAACAATGTGAAATATTACTTTAACTACCTCTGCTGGAATCTCTCCTGACTGTCTCATTAAAACTGAGTCATATTAAGCTCCTCTCTCTCTAACAACTCATATCAAGATGTTGTAGACCAGAGAAAACTAATAGTACAGTTCTTTGAAGGATCTCCATTTTAAATATTCTTCCATTGTCTTCCTTTTTTTTTCTTACATTGAATAATCACCCATTTTAGACATGTTTGTTTGTATTCCTTAGAGCTACAGCAAAAAGTTTGAGATGCAGGCAAGATTGATGCATGGATTACAGCGAAATTTCATGAGAGTAAAACACATGGTAGTATTTTTGTAAAGATCAGAATTGTTAGATTTCATGTTCAAAGATCTTCAATGACCAGACTGAGTCAAATTGCAAAAGAAAAAAAAAAAAAAAGAAAGAAAATAATAATAAAAAGCAGTTTCACTTATGTACCTTAAAATTAGAGCAAATGGAGTGTCTGCTCCCTGAATTTCAAAGTTTGATAATGAAATTAAATATTTACACTTTTGTTAATCAACAAGTATGATTAATAATAACAGTGTTAGGAATAGCTGCTATATTTTGATCTTTTCATCCGTCAGCTCTTTGTTAGAAGATTTGAAGGCTATTCTAATGGTGACATTTTAGGAATCTTGGATGGCATTCACTTGTCGCTGGGGTATTCTAAAATACAACAAATCTAAGCTTGATATTTTGACCTAGACTATTAAGATGCACATAAATCTGTTGTAAATTAGTACCCTTAGTTTTACAAAAAATATAGTCATAAACTGTTATCATATCTAATAATCAAGCGAGAAGGCAGCATTCATGCAAGAACTGCAATGCTGTTGGTATGAAAGAATAAAATGACAACTAGGGGAGTATAATGTTTTCAAGTGTCTGCGATGCTTCATGATAAACCGCTTTGAAACAACAGCTATCTGTTACGATACATGTTAAAATACCAAGCATGGTTTGAGGTTTGAGGTGGTATTTGACACTTTATCTACATTTCTTTCATTACATTTTTGATCAATTGTTTATATCAAAGGTTTTGAACACTGGGGTCATGACCCCTAGTGGATCTGTGAAGACACTGCAATGGCTTTGGTTTATTTTAGTTCATTTTTAATAAAAAAATTTTAATACCAATTTTAAGTTCCCTGCACACACATTTAGAGGAATCTAACATGTCAGCTGATAGACTGAATTATAGATGAATGTATTTCAGTGAATAATGCATCTGTTTAGTGTGATCACCTGCTGAGCTCTGCTTGACTCATAGCCTAACCAGTGTTGCAAGATCGTGCTGGTTTCCAACCAACTGAACTTCTTTTTACCAGGCTGGGTTGGAAAGATTGTTTTGGATGGATTGGTAGAATTTAGGGTGTCTTTCATAGAATAAAAAAAAAACAACAACAAAAAAAAAAACAGGAATACTTTGTCAAATTAACTGTCATATTTTGGCAGGAAAGGAAACTTTTTTTCAATGTAAGGTGCTTTTGCACTCATTGATCATTGTAGGTCTTTGTGAGGTTATTTATTTTGATTATAGAAATGTTCTCAAACCTGACATCATCTGTAAGTGGTAGCCATTGATTAATAAAGTGTCACTGCTAAATTATATTTTGTCAGAGTTAAACCAAGCTACAATTAGCTTTGATTTGACGTTAAGACATAGCATCATGTCGAAGTTAAAAAATGTCCAAGACAATAGCGGCATTTCCATTATAAATGTGTGCAAAACTATGTTGTTATTGAACTTATTTCAAAACCAACATGGCAGAGGTTGATGTAAACATATAAGGTATATCTATATTTCAGCCATGCCTCAAGTGCTCATTGTGCTCATCGTCACAAACTAAATGTAAAAAATACTCAGCCTTCTTGTGGATGCAAATATGCTGCTCTAACATCCTCAAACTACTTTCTGTCTTCTTTTTGTCTTTTTCCAAGGCAGTAATGTCCAGTTTCAGATCATGTTACTAGTGTGATGCAAAAAAAGTTTTTCCATTTCAGTTTTCTGAAATATAAGAATTCATTGAAGGGTACTTTTTTTAACATAAATTTATTTTCGAATTCCAGTGTTTCCATTTAGCTAATTTATTTTCAGAATTAAAAGTGATGCAATTTGATGGTTGATGGAAATGCAGATAGTGATCAAAATTTCACTGTGAATACCCAAATTCAAAAATCCAAGCACACCTCATGATTTAAAAGAAAGTGCTGCTGCATTCTTTATTCTTCACATACACATATACATGTTCTCGAATTTTGGTTTCATGGTAAGGACCATTCGTAACAAAGTGCAACAGTGTAATGTTTCAGACTTTCTGTTTTGTTATCAGTGAGGTTTAGGACTAAGCTCTGAAATTGTCATGATCTTGGCACTGATGACTGGATTACTGGTTTGTTTTATTCACATTATGTGGGCGACAGTGGCGTTGGATGTAGGAGTTTGCCCTGAAATTGAAGGATTGATGGTTCAAGCCCCGGCTCCGACTTTCAGTGTCGTTGTGTCCTTGGGCAAGACACCTCACCTGCATTGTCTACTGATAGTGGTCAGAGGGCCCGGTGGTGCCAGTGTACGGCAGCTCCGCTTCTGTCAGTGAGCCCCAGGGCAGCTGTGGCTACAATGTAGCTTGCCACCATCAGTGTGTGAGTGTGTGTGTGAATGGGTGAATGAATGTAGTGTAAAGTGCTTTGGTCAAGTCTCCTGACTTGAATAGAGGCGCTATATAACTACATGCCATTTACCCTTACCATTTACCTGCCTTGCTCTGCCCAGTTTTCATTACTGAACAACATCACTCATCAGATACACCTGTTCCAGTTCCTATCTAAACTGCTTGGTCCCAGCCATCAGTGCCAGATCATTCGAGCCGTAGATGAGCGTTCTATAGCGTACACAGTGTTTTATTCTGATACCCTTTTCCTCAATAGTTTCTGCTCTCGGACTTCTGAGTTTGCCTGCCCCTGTTTTTATCTGTTTGCCTGACCTGTCTATGGACTTCCATTGGATTCTTCCTGCTAACAACCTTGGATGTGTCTCCTGACCACAGCTTGAATTTCCCTTCGGAACCTCTTCTGATCTCTAATCTTCTGGCCTGGACTTCTGCTAACTCATCTATACCGGCTTTGGATTCTCCTTCCGGATACGTCTGCTTGTCGTCTGCTCTGCAGCACCTTTGGCTTCTACTCCTGGAAAATAGTTCCCATTGTTGATATTATCTAAAATCCATGACATAAAACTATTGATAAAACTCACTACCAGAATTGTCACTGTTTTTTCACTTTAGTACAATTGTCAAAATATTGCATCGGAAACACCTATATTATAACCAATATGAGTTGTGAAGATTGATTGTGGAAAAAAATCCCTGCTGGGTATTTCTTTAAAGCGCATCTCAGATTGAAAGAAGTAACTTTGATTGTCCATCACTGTCACACACAGTGTTGCTGCAACTGTGACCATCTGCAGGATCTGTCCATCTATGGATGCCAGTGTGTTTGTGTTACACTGCTCATTTTCGATCAAAGCATCAACAATTCGCCCTGAGGGAACGAATGTGTGGTCATCATTTAAAATAGCTTTTTTGCTGCACCATTGCTCTGGAACTGTGGGTAACTGGAAAGTGGGGATGAAGACGGGTGATATCCAATTATAGATCTGATGATGTAAAGACATGAGAGCACATGTCCCCCCCTCATTTTTGCACTATTCGGAGTGGTACAGTCCGCAGTCTTAAAGGCAGAGCAGAGTGACTCAAAATGCTTTGACTTTTGCACAAATTTCTTGAAACTTTACAAAATAGTTTGAAAGATGGTAAAAATACACAAAAATTGAAAAGACTGGGCCTAGTTTCTGAAAGTCACGTTGTTTTGTACATTTCATTATAGATGATGCTAATGGTCCAGTGATTAACAGATTATGATGCTCTGTGATTTTTCTATTCAGTATTTTCAAATTGAATGGACAAATGCATGCAAACACCTACACAGAGGAGGAGTCACATGTGACTGTCTGAGGAAGGCATATTGCAGCATTGCTAAGGCAACAGCTGCAGAGTGCCCCAACAAGCAGATAAACCTCGGTGTGCTCTCCCTCTCATCATTGTTTTCATCTTGGTAATACAAACACAAGTTTCAGGGGGATTTGTTCCCCTTTTGCAGTGTTTCGTGTCTTTTTCTGTGATGCATATGTAATTCACACTCTCCTCCTCAACACATTTGCTTTCGGTCTAATTCCTTCTGTCTTCAAATGCACACACTCACATGCGCTCACCCACTCTCCTTCTCCTTCACCGTCCCCCTCCCTCGTTCTTTCCTCTCATCCTCTGCTGCTTTGCTGTTCTGTTGTCTGTTTCTCTGTTTCCCTTCCTTTCCACATTTTGACTCCCCGAACCCCTCTTTCCTTTTGGTTGTTGTTGCTGTCAACCCCACCACCTCTGCTTTCCATCTCCATCTTATCCTCTATTTTTGTCTTCCTTTTTCCACTACCTGCTCTTTTGGATATCGGATACACGCCTCACCTTCCCATTACTCTCTGTTCTTTCTCCCCTCTTGATAAATTCCAAAGACCCCCTCTTTTCTCTCCTTCTCTTCACTCGTTTCATTGCTCTCTCTCTCTTTCCGTTTCCCTCTGGCCCTCCCCCTCCTTTTTCATGTCCCCCCCCGCCCTCCATCCTCTCTTTCCCTCGCTGGATCAGTTAGTCAAAGAAGAGATTCACGGAAGGAGAGAAAAGGGGGGAAAGGCAGGACGAGAGTGAGAGCGTAGGAGTGGGGCAGGCTGGGGAGAGGGGCGTGGGGTCTCAGCCCTCTGTTGTGGGGGGTTGGGGGGGTTGAGATACACCCCAATATTTTGTTCTAAGTACCATGGACTGCCTCTGCATTGTGACTACAAAGGTAAGCCTATCTGTTGTCTCGTACACAAGCTCGTGCTCTGTGTGTGTGAGGGGAAGAAACTGTTGGGTGCCACAACTGGAAAGAAATTAATTAATCATGTTGGTACATCATCTGCATAGATGGATATTTCATCTTGGAATTTGTTACTTTAATGGAATTCGGAAATTTCAAGGAAATAATGGAAGCTGAGATAACTGAGAGGTGTGTGGACAGAATATCTTTGATATCTCCCATCTCTGCCTGACCCTCTCTCCCACTCTCTCTGCATCTCCTACTCGATGTCATGCTTTAGGAGTTAATACACCGGGGCTGGCTGACCTGCGTGGATTTTTTTAAAAGCAGAAAGTGCCAGCATTTTGCAGCAGTTCTTTCCTGGATTTTGAAATCTGCATGCCATCCTTATCTGCTTTCTGCTGCTTTCTATTTATCTTCAGTCCTACAGCTAACCCATGCTGCACTTCCCTACCAAACCAAAGGAGTGTTATGTCATACACATGTGCTCAGCATCAGCAGTGCTCCTGAGAAGCAGTCCTACACATTGATTGATATTAATGCAGCCTTAATGTAGTATGACATCGGACACTTTGAGAGGTCAGACGCTGTTAAAAGAGTGACAGACTCAACTAGGTCCACAGTTATATCCCCACAGATTCAACAGCAAGTGAACAATGCACTGTAGCAACTGCACCTGAGCGCCGTTTCCAGCAGGAAGTGATGACAAAAAGTCGGAAACACAAAAAGAAAAGCACAGAGGCTCCTACAGCTGTGTGAAGGCAGTGGTCATCACAGGGTGTTTTTTCGTGCATTTGTTCTTATTTGGTACTGGTGGCACAGACGTGAGTGCAGCTGGTGCTTTCGGATGTATTACATAAATTTGTGCTTAAGTGTGGCACACTCATTTGCTTATCAACCTCTCTGTTTCCGTGGCAACAGAGAATATTGGTCAGTTAAACATAGATAAAGAGGTGCACTCAGATGAGGTGGCAGACGTACTGTACAGTTTTACATAAGTGCACAAAGACCCTTTGCAAATTGATCCACAATCCTTGATGTTTTAGTAGATTTTCCCACAATATAAAGATCAGCTGATTTTATTGCAATTTTATGTGATAGAACAACACAAGGTAGAGCAGAAATATAGAGTGGAGGGAAAATCATCAATTTATGATTTTTAAAACTAAGATCTGAAAAAGCTTCACCTAATTAGTAAGTACAGCATTATATGGATGTTTTTAGCCATTTTGGCCTACATTAAAAAAAAAAAAAAAAAAAAAAAAAAAAAAAAATATATATATATATATATATATATATATATATATATATATATATATATATATATATATATATATATATATATATATATATATATATATATATATATATATATATATATATATATATATGTATATATATTGCATTATGTCTCTAAAAAGAACAGCCCAAAGTGAAACGGGCTGTGGGGATAATTTTCATCATAATGTATAAGAAAGTTGCTCATCTTCACTGGAGAGATGGGGCTAAATGGAGACCATTCCTGGAAGAAAACCTCTTAGAGGCAAAAGACTTAAAAGTGAGGAGGTTTATGTTCTAAATGGACAAAAACCCCAAACAGGCAATCATTGTTATAGTAAAAATGGTTGATGTTAATGGATATTAGATTTGCCCGGTCAGAGACTGGTCTAGACCTGAAATTAAAATATGTAACAAAACTTTAAAACTGATTACAAGCACTGTCTGTGAAATCAAACTAAGCATGACAAAAAAGAAAAAAACTAAATAATAATTTCAGTAATTTACTAAACAGGTAGAACATTTCCAATTGACTGTGTTCTACACCAAAGCTGGTAAAATTCACCTTAGCTTACAGGTAAAGGTGATTCCACAACATGCTGACAGAAGTGGTATGTGAGACCCCAGGTGTAAATCGGAGGTTAAAGAATTTGATATTATTCATTGATATCAGAGTAAATGGTGCTTAAAAAAAAAACACAACACAGACTTTTCAGATCATTACTTTAATAGTTTCTTTTCACTTTAAAACTATGTACAACTTCTTTACACATATATTGAAATAAACATTACTGTTAACATAATGGATTATAGAAAAAGTCACTATACTACATAGAACTGTTACCTGCTGAGCTAGCTTCCATCCCGAGAACTATCCATGCTGTTGATCCTGCTATGTTAACCCTACATTGTTATACAACACTCCAGTAAGTCTTTAAAAAAATTATAGTAGGTTTTAAGCCTCGGGGCTTAATGCACATTTTCCCGTGTGTGTTAATCATTTATTTAACTTCTCTAAGGCAGACTGGGGAAAGAAAAGACAGTAAGTTAAAGACCACAGTTGGTGGCAGTGGATTTTTCACCAAAGCCGCTCCAGAATCCTGCATCGCGTTAAAAGTGAGAAAAGACTTACTGTAAAGCTGGCAAAGAACAGCAGGCTTTTGCCAAGAACTTGGGAGACAGATGGTCAGTTTATAATAGAGCAAGTTAGCACATAGAAAATACATAAAGGAATGCTTTAACCTATCTTTATAGCAGTCCTTTGTTTTAATTTTCATCCAGTAGTGCATAAAAACTTTCAATACCTGTGTGGGATTAACTTCATGAAATGGAGTTCATATCAGCCGCCATAGAAGGTCTAGTATATATAGGTTCACAAATGCTCAAGTCAAACAAATTCCACTGTTGTAATTATTTAGTATATTACTTTACATGTGAGCCATTCAAATGTTATAGATTGCGGCTGCATTGCAGGTAGGGAATGTAGTTTGCCATCGTGTAGCAGCTGATGGGTGAGCAGCTCCCCGAGTGAGCTGTTCCCTGACACCCACATACTGTATAACAGGTTATGTGAACAATGTTGCTTCCCCCTGTGGAGGTCTGTACACAAAGTTTCTCCATGTGTGTGGGTGAAGGCACAATGAGCCAGTGAGTGACAAATGAATTAAAGTACTATTGTGCCAAGCAGTGATTTTTGTAATAAAAGTAAAAAAAAAAAGGTATATAGAAAGAATGGCCTTCTATGGCCGTCTTCCAGTCTTTAAAGGATAGTTTCTCTTTTAATTTTCAGTTAAGCATCATAAAGTGACCTTGGGTAAGCTGAAAAGTGGTAGCTTTTCACATCTAATGGTTGGACTGCAGCAGTGGGTCCCTTCCTTGTATATGTTTAACTTTAAAATGCAAGCTAAAAAGCCTGCAAGTCCTAAAAGGCTTTAAAAATAGGACATTTGACGTTTATCTAGCAATGGTGGTATTTGATATGACTGATATTGCTCAGCCCCTAGTCATGGTGCTACAAAATAAATAAAACTTCCTTCAAATGTGACCTTTTTTTAATCACTTAAGTGAATGCAAATCAAAATGAAAACAGAGTTATACACAAGACAAAAAAATATGGAAAGTACCTAAAGTTTAGTATGTTTCCTTTTATTGGTTTAGGAATAGATAGTTTCCAAGAAATTAACAGAGGAGATCCACATCATTTAACTGAAATTTTGGTGGGCAAGCACAGTGCTAGGCAAGGCCAGGCAACCAATATCATCATGGCTACCAGACAAAGAAAAATAAAATATGTCAGTAGACTTCACCAACAAGATAATATGAGGTGCCCCCAGGGACATAAATCAGAATTAACTTGCATATACACATATTAAATTACACTCTTCCATATAATATACTGAAAACCTCACACAAACACTAGTAAAAAGCTCTCACATAAACTAGTGAAAACATTGACCTCTTATATAATCTACTCAAAAGCTCTCATACAAAGTAGTGAGAACTGTTCATATAAACTGGTGAAAAGCTTTACCTTTCATACACACTACTAGAAAGCTTTCATATACACTATTAAAAAGCTCTCATATACACTACTACAACGCTCTCATATACACTATTAGAACGCTCTCATATACACTATTAGAACGCTCTCATATACACTATTAGAACGCTCTCATACACGCTACTAGAAAGCTCTCATATACACTACTAGAACGCTCTCATACACGCTACTAGAAAGCTCTCATATACACTACTAGAACGCTCTCATAAACACTACTAGAACGCTCTCATAAACACTATTAGAACGCTCTCATAAACACTATTAGAACGCTCTCATAAACACTATTAGAACGCTCTCATACACGCTACTAGAAAGCTCTCATATACACTACTAGAACGCTCTCATAAACACTACTAGAACGCTCTCATAAACACTATTAGAACGCTCTCATAAACACTATTAGAACGCTCTCATAAACACTATTAGAACGCTCTCATAAACACCATTAGAACGCTCTCATACACGCTACTAGAACGCTCTCATAAACACTATTAGAACGCTCTCATAAACACTATTAGAACGCTCTCATAAACACTATTAGAACGCTCTCATAAACACTATTAGAACGCTCTCATACACGCTACTAGAAAGCTCTCATACACACTACTGAAAAGCTATTAGCGGATTTCAGTTGAAACGGAAGGCGTTTCAGTGAAACAGGAAGGACCGTCATTACACCGGAAGTTGTTTTAAACGGAGGTCATTCTGGCTAGCTCCGTACATTTTGTGCTATCTCCGGCCGAAATTGTATCAAATAAAATTATTGATTCATGCTCAGCTATCCGCTAAACAACTCACAGAAGCATGGGCATTACTCGACTTTATTTTTTATGTTTTTGCTTCAACAGAGATCCTTTTCCGGTGTTGTGCGAAATTCTGTTCCCATGTGAAAATCTGTTCCACCTGTGTCGGGAGCGCGCCGCGCGTTGCAGCCACATAAGCGGATCTGATCATTTCCCAGGCCTTTCGGATCATTTCTTGGTTAAATAAAAAGTCGTAAAATTATACAAGGTTGAGACATTTAGTTTAATCAGCCGCTGTTGTTTACAAAATTGTAAAATAAAAAAAATAAATGCGGTTTTCTTATGCTGTTTTGTGTTGTTATTTTAAACGCCAAGAGAATCCATCTCTTTCCAAGTTTTTTCACTTC